GGAAGATTTTATATATATATATATATATATATATATATATATATATCAGGAAAAAATATATATATAGAGAGAGATATCCCATTTACACTCTGCAATGGATTCTCATCTGTGTTGTGTTGTCTGGTCCTCGTCTGCTGTTCTCAATTCCAATTTACTTTCTAGGTTTTTAGCATTTATCATCTTTTAGATGGTTTAGACAAGAGCTGGGCACAATGGTACATGCCTGTAATCCCAGGAACTCAAGAGGCTGAGGCTGGAGGATTGCAAGTTCAAGACCAGCCTCAGCATTTTAGTGAGAACCTGTCTCAAAATATAAAAAATAAAAAGGGCTAGGGATTTAGCTCAGTGGTACAGTGCCCTGGGTTTACTCCCCAGTACTGGAGGTGGTAGAATGATATTATTTTAATTTTATTTATTTATTTATTTATTTATTTATTTATTTATTGCTGCCAGCAATTGAACCCAGGGGTGCTTGACCATTGAGCCATATCCCCAGCCCATTTTTATATTTTATTTAGAGACAGGTATCGCTCAGTTGCTTAGGGCCTCACTAGGATGGTAAGGCTGACTTTGAACTTGTGATCATCCTGCCTGAGCCTCCAAAGCCAGTGGGAATTCAGGTGTGCACCACCATACCTGGCTGATTTTACATAATTGAATTCTCCATACCACTTGTTTGAGTAGTAGTAATGAAGATAATTATTGTAAGCAAAATGACAGTTATTATGTTGCATATCATTAGGAGAAAGTCTCTTCACTGTGAGAATTAAGGTGCCATATAATGGAATATTGGCATACATTTAATGATAGGATAATTTAGGTGCTTGTTTTTAGAATTTACAAAATTCACAGGAATGGAAAGCTAAATGTTAAAATCCAGGATTTAATGATGAGTTTCCTGTAAATTTAGTTTAAAGGGTTGATGATTATTCAAGTGAATATTTGTTCAATTTATCTGAGTGAGCTAGTGAATAAGATTCCAGAATATCCAAAATCATCCTTAGTTAAGTGTCTGACTATATGAGGGGTTATGCTAGGCTTATTTAAATATTGTTTCTAATTCTCTAGGAATTTACTTTTTCAGGCAATGGAGGTCATTATATTCATTCCTTTAAAATTAGGCTATTTATAGCTAGGCATTGTGGTGCATGCCTGTAATCCTAGTGACTCAGGAGGCTGAGGCAGGAGGATTGCAAGTTTGAGACCCCTTTGGCAATTTAGCAAGGCCCTAAGCAACTCAACAAGACCCTGTCTCTAAATAAAAAGGAGTCAGGGAGCTGTGGCTGTGGCTCAGTGGTAGAGCACTCACCTGGTGTGCGTGAAGCACTGGGTTTGATCCTCAGCACCACAGAAAAATAAAAAAAAAAGGTATTGTGTCTTCCTACAAATATATATAAATATATATATATATATATATATATATATAATATATATATATAATTCATATATATATTAATTATATATATATATAATATATATATATATATATAAAATTCAGTGGTAAACCATCTCTGAATTGAATCCCCAGCACCACATACACACACATTGTGTGAGCATTCACACACAGAATGTGTGTGTGTGTATATATATAAAATCAAGAGAGAGACTACTTAATGATAAATTATTGCATGCATGTACTTGTATCCTTTTAGAGAAAAAAAAGTACAAAAATACAAATGTCACCATAAGCCATCATGTCTAATAGGTAAAACATGCTTCATAGTAGTCATAGTCCTTAGTGTTCTTCCTACTTTGCCCCTGTCCAGATGTACTCTCATAAAAGTTTCTAATAGGACCAAACATACTTAAATTTAAAAACCTACTGGGAGAATTATTTGGGTTGGGGAGCAGAGTAAAAGGAGAAAAATGTATCTATTGTCCCTTCTGCAGCTAGCATAGATAAAATGCCTTTAACCACTTTCAAGTCAAGATCCAAAATACCAACTTCTATCTTTAAAGTTGTAACTTGCCTAGGTTGGCCCTTTCCACTGTGGTTTTCCCAGTTATTATAGCAGTCATCAAACTGTGAATATCATGTTAAAGGAGTTCAAAGATGAATAAAAATCTCTTTCTACTTTAAAGATCAAGAGTTGTATTTGCCTCATTTGGGGCAGTATCTCTATGAATTATTAAGGTGGTCATCTGCTTTGCCTGCTGGCATATCTCCCACATCTGCTAGCCATGAATAATTTCAATATATAGCATATGTATGTGTTTATGTGAACATAGAATATTTTTCTTGGGATGTCTGAGAACACTGGTACAGATATAAGATTACACTATCAAGTAAATCCTCAAGTGACTATGTACATAGATAATATATGAATGATAATATATTTAAACTATTTATAGATCAAATATAAACATTTTAAGAAGGAATGGAGGGTAAAACATTATTTAGTGCATTACTAAGGAAACATTGCCATATCACAAATTTATTATGTGGTTTTAAAATTATTTTTATCAGAGCTTTATACTTATACATAGTAGTTGGGTTCATCCTGACAAACTCATACATGCATGGAAATTGATTTCAGTCATGATCCTCCCCTTTTCCCTTCCGTCCTCCCCTTTCCCTTTCATCTTAGACTTCTTTTTGCTCATCTATTAATTTGTATTTAATTGGTTCTTTATGTGATCTTATCCTTCCCTCCCCCTTTCCTTTATTTTATTCTAGCTTCTGAATGTTATTATGTGTTTTGATTATTGTATTTCAGTGTAATTAGTTTCCACTGTAATCCCATGGAT